CTTTTATTACTAGTCCTCATGACACTATATAATAAATAAATGTTAATTCAGATTTAAAAGAAGTTCCATTTGAAAGATATGATGATGAGAAACCAATTGGGAGCGTAGTGTTTAAGCTTTTTAACTAAACACATATCCAAATGCTCTTGAAAGATCACAAGAGACTCAGAAAGTGTCATGGTGAATACACATAGTAAAGCAAGCCTATGAAGGGTATCTGTTATCAGAAGATCCTATAGAACTGAAAAGTATGATAGAGAAAGTAGAAATACTTATACTACGAGACCTTTCTTGCTAGGTTACTAGACTTAGACTTTATTTAAACAAGCAAGGGTAAAAATGGGCACAAAGTCCACCTGATGGTAAGTGGATGCTACAGTCCCTAGACATGTATGTTAATATTTGATTAGGAATTAAAATGTAGATGCGTTGTAACTATTAATCGATAAGACAAAATACCTCGTTACCAGTAAAAAAAGGTAGAAACATAAACATAAACGTACTACGACTAAAACGTACATAAACTCTCATGCCTGTTACCCAGATAGGCAGAGACTACGGACTTCTATTTGGCACGTTCCTGACAACCTCTCTCGCTTCTTCTATATACATTTCTTCTATTTTACGTGGTAGAGCCATGCCGCAGCTATATTAATTGTATAATTGTAGCAAGAATGGGTCGGATCGACCGGGGAAGGACCAGCATGGTCCTTCCCCGACGGAATACCAGCGTCAAATGGCAGCTTAATGCTGCTGTGTTTCGTATGGTGAGTGTAGAGAACCGGAGACCCTTTTTACTGGAAAAGAGGCATTCCATCTTAGTCCTCAAGGCTGACAACGCATCTTCATTTTGATTCGCAAACGAGGATAGATGTAGATGTCTATGGGCTACAGCAACCACTTACCATCAGGTGGACTGTGTGCTCGCTTGTCACCCTTTTCCTATAAAAAAATACATATTCCTACTATGCGATTCAAATAAGAATAGGATTGACCTGACCATTTTGTGGCGTCATAGCTTTCAATTCAAACCAGTCAGGTAGGGTGACCAAAACAGATATTTTTAAAATAATATTTATTTACAAATCAATACAAAATAAATCATAAAAGAAAACGTTTTAATCGGAATCTAGCACTTCAATTCCGCTCATTTCTTCATCACTGTCTGAATAGCACGCCGATATCGACAAGATGGCGTCCTCTTTGCTTTTTGGAGAAATGTTGCCAACAATGAAAATAAAACAAAACAGTTTAAAATTATTTTTAAAACCAATTACGATTGAGTTCAATAAATATAAAAGTGGAAAATTAAATGCAAACCTTCTCAAGTGACGGCTGACAGATCGCGATTATTCGAGATCATTGACGTTCCTATTCTTATTTCAATCGTATTGCACTATGCATTCCTTATTTGGCTCATCTTCAATATATCACCAAGTTGGTCGATAAACTTCCGTCTAGGGCTTCGCTTACCGACTCTGTCACTTACTTCTGCAGTTCACTACCTTATTCATTTATTTTGTTCTATGTGTCTAAACCGTATAAAGAAATATTTAACTGGAGTACAAAGACTGGAGTAGTTCAGTAATTGTCACTGTAAGATCTGGCGTTTTACTAAATTAAAATGAATATGGGTTGGATATGTGCGCAGTCCTGTATGAGCAAATTGTTACTATGTGACAGCACGTAAACTATAGAGTAACGGATATGAAGTATAATAAGTAATATATAAATACATTAAAATATATACATTAAAATATATAATATAGTATTAAATTACGTATATTTTATCTGGTAAATATGTATTTTTAATAAACTCTATATTTTAAACAAACATTAATTTCCATATATAATAAAAGTTCTGTCACATTTTTAAAGTGCGTTGATCTTTAGATAGGTACGAAAAAGTACACACGCACCGTGGATAGCTAAACCAGTTTTGTAAGAGTAATTATGGAAAATAATTCTTAAGCACTTATTGTCAGCTTATTTCAGTTTCCGTTAGCCTAAATCTTTTTTATCGTAAACATTTTTTTTTAATTTCTCAAAGTCTTGTACTGCGATCGTTTAGCGCTTGCCATGGAAAAGGGCCATGTACAGCAATGTCCAATGGATATGGGCCATTGAGCCTTTTATATAGCAGGCCTTTTACCGTGTTTTTAAAGAAAAAGTTAGAGAACTCATACCTTGTTCTGGTAATTTTATTTACTCAAATTTTTGGAAATCTTCACACTAAATTTTAGTACAAATTATTAATCATACAGAACAACAGCACCGCGACACTTTTCTTGAATCATTTGAAAAGGAATGGGATTTCATTTTTTGGGGATGATAAACGTTGGATGTAAACATGGGTACTTAAGGGCCATAGCATCTGCATAATAATCACTAGGAATTTGTGCCCGTTTGTTACTCTTACTTGAAATATATTATTACATGAAGGGAAACCTTTGATTGCGATTTAGCATACAACAAACAAAAACAAAAAGCAGAACGCTAAAATTTTTATATAATATATGTTACAAATACATTAAATTAAATAAACATTCGTTGTTTACGTTATATTGCCAGTGTCAAACAAATAATGGTCTGTCATCAAACAGTCGCACAGAGTAGAGTTTGTCGCCAAAGAATTTTGAAATGTTGCCAACAAATAATTACTACTTAATTTTGTATGATTTCAAATATTCCTTTTTCGTTAATTCATTGCCCTAAAACCCTCTCAAAAATGAGGAAGGCCTGTGCCCAGCAGTGGGACGTATATAGGCTGTAACTTTACTTTTACTTTACTTTTTCGTTAAAGTTTACGGAGTGTAGGTCAAGGCAAAGGAGCATTTATATTGTATTATATGAAGTAGTAGTGTAATACAGCTTGCGCAATATATAAATTTGAAAATGTAATGAATTACTGTCGAACTACGACCACTAGGCAACCACTAGAATAACATAATAAATAAATAAACGTAAGCATTAGAAATTAAAACAGATTATTAAACATCCAAGTGTAGTTTAATAATCTATTTCAATTTCTAATGTTAATGAAAAGCGTGTAAAAAGAAAAAAACGTTCCAGAATAAATATCCGTAATTTGTCTAAATTGCATAGTATAACAATTTGCTTAATTTCATAAATTCAATTGGTTCTATTTAAATTGAGAAAAATGAAAATTACAGTTTTCTTTCACATGTTTTTAAAATTAGAAAAATGAAATATGCAGTAATACTACTCTCTTTGTTTAGTGATTGATTGACGCTTTATTTCGTAATATTTGGAAAAAGACTCGCCTTTTCGTATTAAGTAACTACTTCTTTCGCTGTTGTATGTTATAATGCATCTTAGCAACGAAGAGTGCCTATATATACACACGTCTATTTTCTTATGTACTCTGTGATTTTACTAACGTACCTTGGATTTTCTAGTTAGTTTGTGCCTTGCATAAAGTTTGACACTTTGTCGAAATAACGTACATACTGAACACACGACACAGTTACTCTTTACCGAGAGAAGAATGTCATCTACAAACTAAAAAAAAAGAAACACGAGTCTATAAGTGTATACTTACAGCGCCACAGTGGGCGCCCATATAAAACTTTTTTCGTGGGGAATTCGAACCTGTATTCCGTATTTTTAAACTTTTTATTTCAGGTATATTCAAGTAATTTTGGCTGAAGCATCACATACCTGTGGAGTAAATTCCCACACATTTGTGATATTGCAACAAAATTAGTCGAATATACTTTAGATTAGCATGTGGGATAAAATAAAATTATAAATAAGTATAGTTATGTAATTTTATTTTCTGTAAGATAGATCGTTTTATAAACTATACAATATTTTTGATGTTTTATATGGTTTTTGCATATAATATTTCCACGCGTGTTCACGCATAGATATGTAATACATGTTACTGTCAGAGAGTTATTCTTTTCAGAGTATTAACATAAATTTAAATTTTGAAAAATCTCCTGGTGACATCTAAACTCAACCTAAATAAATGATCTGAAACAGATAAAATTCGAGTCAATATAGTATTAATCCTTTCAAATAACTGTCAATATATTCAAAATGTTTATAAACTTACCACAATATTGTCTTAAGTTTTTCTTGTTCTCTTGAAGGAAACCTACAGAAAGTAATACGATGATTTTGTGCTTTTTGTTTGCACATTACACTTAATTTAGTTTCAAACGGTAGTTCTGATCAAAAAATTAAAAATAATGAAATAATTAATAGTCAATATCTCATAGAGTTACATCTCACAAAAAATTTACACTTACAATCGCGAGGAAACGCCAAATTAAACGAAAATTAAGTATTCTGATTATTTATAAGTGAATTCGAAATTGAGAAAAATTTTTGAACATGAAGGAAGTTGACAGACAAGTTATTTTTTCTTGTGCTGATATAATTCTACTAGTACATAATAATCTAGTTTTATTCAATTAATAGGTCAATTAATTGTGCGAACCTCAGGGTAATATGTATATAATTACTGTAATGTGCAAACGAAAAAAATATAGCACATAATTAACATTTTCAGTTTCTTTCGATATAATAATTATGTATATTTATATGTAATTTTTAAAATGGCAATCTTAAATAACCTTTAGAAAGAAACAACAATATCTTTTCTCGCTTTATTTTTACACGCCCAACCCACACATAGACACAATTATGATTGTGTGCAAAATTTTCGGATTTCATACAAAGATGGATCACTCTGGTACATACTGATTATAATACTATAATCTGTTCCAAACATTTTCATACTTTTTCTGAGCATTTTTGACTCGTTTTCTTAGCATTGTCTTCAAAAAGTATATCAAAAAGGTAAAAACGTTGGTTGCATAGATTATAATACACATATATGTATATTTGCGAGTTGGTTGTCTTGGCAACTTATAAATATTTTTTCGCTATGTTATTATGTTTTCGACGGTTTTCGAAGATATACATCCATTGAATTATTATATTACTGCGTACGAACATCTTATTAAACAATGAGTGATGTAAAGCCAGGAAAACAAGAAACTCAAAAACAAATGGAGCCGGGGTTTTGTTCAGCGACTTGCACTGATAGAGCTTGTTTGCAGCACCATATAAATAAGCCTGAAATAAAGACATCAGACATTTATGCAACATGTAATCTTCCGAAGAGATTTGAATACCCTCGTAAGTACTGCGTAGTTTTAGTAAGAATTGCGTAGTTTGCTAAAAGACATAGTCTTTGTTTAGTACGGTTTAAATCATAACTAGCGATTCGCCCTTTGTATAGATTAGGATTTATAATTTTTCAAATTGTACAAATGTTATCATTGCCTTTATTTACATATAGACTGTTACTAAACATACGAAAATCGTATGATTAAAAAAGTCATACGATAATCGTACAAATAAAATAAAAAAAATACTTATTCGTCCGACAATTTTTTTAAATTAAAAGGATCACTTCTATCAATATTATATTTTATATCTACGCAGTAGTATAATAAGTCTATGTTTATATCATTATATTGTTCGCGGCTTTAGGCTGTCACTGATGTTGCAAGATTGGTGTAATGTTTTATAGACCCCTCCATGGGGCAACCCCAAAAAAAAGCGATGCACCCAAGAGACGAAAAAGGCAAAAAAAAAAAATACCTGTGGGTGGGCGCCCCCCGCCACCCCCAAAACCGGCTCATAAAAAAAAAAAAACGCATCGCTCTACCACAAAAAAAAATAGACGCAAATAGCCTTATCACATGAGTATCAGAGGATATAAGAATATTTTTAAATACTCTGATACTAAATTCTTCTGTCCGTGTGTATGTGACTGACTGACTGACTCTTCCTGAACGGCTGGACCGATTTTAATCAAGTTTTGTGTGTTGTGTGTGTGTGTGTGTGTGTGTGTGTGTGTGTGTGTGTGTGTGTGTGTGTGTGCGTGCGTGCGTGCGTGCGTGCGTGCGTGCGTGCGTGCGTGCGTGCGTGCATGCGTGCGCGCGCGTGCGCGTGCGTGTGCGTCACTCATGGGCCAAAAACTATCCTATCTCTCAAGTTGGACCAAACTGCACACGGAGTGTAAATTGGATTAAAATCGCTTAAGTAGTTTAAGAGTCCATCGCGGACAAACAACGTGACACGTAATTTATATATATTAAAATAACGATATACTATCATTGAGTTTATAAATATAATTTATTTGAAAATATCCCAAATTGAATGTGATTTATGGGCAACAACTACGCACACGCGCGCTCCTCTGTGTACGGTTCAATTCACTTTTTTGTAAAATTCACAGTTTTGTAAAATAGTATGACAATCAGTTAAAATGACGCATTACCACGCATTCTGAATTGAATAGTTAAAAAGGACATAATGTTTGAGATTCTTTAAAAATTAATTTTTCTTAACTTTTCGCATATATTACTTATTCCGAACCGTCTCTGCGAAATTGGGGGTATGTATGTTGCAAAATAACCCTGTATTTACTTTATTTTATTCAATTGTCTAAAATTTATATTATTAATATATTTTTATTGTATTACATACAATAAAAATATTTTGATAATATAATTTTTTAATGATTTGTCAAAAAAAAATAATAAAAAAAATTTATCGTCCGACTATCGTATGAATAGATACTTTTCTGTTCTTTGTTTTCTTTGTTGAAAATGTTAAATACTTACAGCACTGTTTTATTGGATCAATACATTTCACCCGCATATAATGGTAAATTGGACGGGATCAACGACACCGCTTTAAAAGTGTAAACTTAACCTCTTTAAGCTCATGGCTCTTAATAATGTACACATGTTCAAATATTATAAATGCCTAATTTATTTTATTCGTTTAAGTCAAAGAAAATGCCATGTCGTTCTGAATATCTTATCCTTATTGGCAGTATTGAATGAATTTTAATTATATATTATTTTTAGATTGTTTCAATGGTTACGGATGTCAACTGAATAGTCAACATCCATTATATAGGACGACGTCCAGCGAATATGGATGGTACCCTCCAGGTAACAGTTTAACGATCAATTAAAATTAATTGTTACAAAGATTAAAATTAATTATTACCTTCCTAATAGTAATTAATTTTAATTGATATCAGCTCGTGAACGTAATAAAGATCAGCTCAGTGAGAGAGAGAGAGAGAGAGAGAGAGAGAGAGAGAGAGAGAGAGAGAGAGAGAGAAAAGGAAACGACAGCAAAGAGTATATAACACATGCTTACTACGTTTTAAACGCTTGCGCCCTCCTTTCTGCCAAGGAGGGTCGCGTTCGTATACGGCTTAGAGATCTCTAGTAAGATCGTTAAGCCAATTCCTAAAAGGCGGTGTTTAGTGGGTAAAAGTCTCCACATAACCACGCAGCCGGCTGCGTGGTATGCTATGAGCATTCACCGCTTCCCTCCCCCGCTTTCCGGAGGGTTGCCCATATTTGCTTCGGGCGCAAAAAAAAAGTTTTAAACGACAGTTTGAGTTGTGTCGCATCTCTGACGCCGCTTCTTATCACCTGTTTCAGCCTTTTATCATATGTGGCAAGTTTGTAAGCCAAAAGATATGTGATAACTTTAGTTGTTCCTTGCTTCGAATAAAAGCTCATAACGAGACAATGATTGGCACGACGATCGTGTATTCTTCTCTAACATCGCCATCTTATTCTCTTTACAGCTCTTTACGAGTTTACTGCTGAACATAGTTCTCCTCTAAGGAAAGCCATAAAACATGGTCCTGAGCCACTTCTATCCATTGACCTTCTCCTTCTCCCAGTTCATTCTTCTTCATACTTCATCAGTTTGCGGTTCTTCAAACTATATGACCGGTCCATTGTTACTTAAGTTCACTGATCCATTTCGCTATGTCGGTTACTTTGGTTCTACTGCGGATATCTTTATTTCTAAGTCTATCATACAGAGAAAATCCATGTTTAGGGATTTTGAGCTTCCTCATATGACCAGCAGTGAAGGATCAAGCCTCAGATCCATATGTCATCACTGGCAACACGCGCTGGTCGTACAATCTTGTTTTGAAGTTTTTCAAGGAGATGTATCGTTATCTCTCGAACGCTGCCCAACCGAGTTGAATCCGCCGATTGTCCTCTCGGTCGTTAAAATAACCTAGTCGGACAGTTTGTTATAGATAAAAATACTCTTCGACAACTTCGAGGTTAGTGCTCTTAACAACTACCTGCATAGGTGTGACATGAACGTTACAAATGATCTTTGTTTTGTCCATGTTAATTTTAAGACCTATTCGTTTTAGGACAATATTAAGATCGTTGAGCATAGTGCTGAGGCCCTTCAGCGATTCTGGGAAAACGACTATATCATCGGCAAATCAAATTTGAATGATGTGTTCGCCATTGATGTTAATACTGATGTTAATACCAATGCAGCGGTGAAAAGTAGATATAACGTCAACCTCTCTAGTATGGGATAGATTCCGTACTCTGGTTCTATATACCGATAGCCATCGTTGCCCTACTGTACAAGCATTCAGCACTTCGATATACCGATAGTTAAATTGGCACCACTGTGGACTGTAGCATCATCTAAGTTTCGATGGGATCAAAGGCTTTCTTATAGTTGACCTACGCAAGACAAAGCCATCTTCAACACGGAATTTATTTCTTTGTTACTTTTAACAACTAACTGATTCTGATAAGAATATATTAAAATATTTACGTTTTTTAGGTATGCATACAGCGCCGTCAGCTTATTTTCCTATAAATCAAAAGTTTTCGAATCATTTATCAAATGCAGGCATGTACCGCAATTATTCCTTAAACACAGGAATGGATTCATCTTCGTTCAAATAAGTTGCAAATATTTTATGGAGAGAGCATAAGAGCAATTTTGGTTTAAGATTAATTGGCGATTTTCAAATCAAGAATTATTTTAAGAACAGCTTTGTGTACACAATTAATATGTAATATCGCAAACAAATAATGTTGATGTAGCTGTGTAGTTTTTTTTGTAATAAAATAAAAAAATACGTTAGATGTTTTACTCAATCAACCTCAATTCTTTAGCATATTGCAATGTGATATATTGCATTTCGAAATCTGTCAAGTCGTTTAGGCTACAGCAGGTTGCAAGGGGCAGCTTAATATACATACATGACGGTTGTTGATACACGTAGCATTATAAAGATCTGCACAACTCATGATCATATATGAAAGTCGTCGAAGTAATCTAAGTCGGCCGTCAAAAAACATCATCATCAACGCTTCGTTTCGTTTTTATAAATATCATAGGCCTCTTGTCATACTGGAGGGTTGTAGGGTAGGAAAGATTCTCCCTCATGCTGCTTTCGAAATATTTTTTTATTTCTCAGGCAAGCAAGGAAACCTTTCAATGTTTTCCTTCACTACCGAGCAAGTAGCCAGCAGGTGGCAAATTAGCGCTTAAAATTTCAATTGACAATTTCATTGGTATGAGCGATGATCGATATCGGGTTGCGGGCGAACTATGAAATGTTTGGACGACTGATTTTCCCATGAGCTACCACGACTTACTATGATTTAATTGTATGTAAATCAACAGGTATCCACTCGGTCCCCTCGGTGTATTTTCCAGCAGGCCAGACTTTCACCAACCGACTCGCCGCCGCTGGCGTGTACCGTAACTACAGTCTCAACACCGGAATGGATCCTGTGGGATATTCCTGGCTTAACATGATATAGTGTTATCATCTTATCAAGAAATATAAATAACAAGAATTTGATGTTTGTTTTTTTAATTCATAATTGCATTATACGAATTTTAACTTTTTATTTATTTACTGCATAAAATGAAAATTTTGGTATTTAAAAAATAGTAATTATAAAAAAATGCAACTGTATTTTATAATAGTTATTATTACCTTATATTATAATAAATATTTCAGCTTATTATGTTTTATGTTTTCTAATTCAATAAAACTGAAATATGTAAGAGGCTATCTAAGCGGTAAAACATTTTGAAGATTAGGTTTCTAACCAATCTAATGTTGGCGCGTTGAGCCCGATCGACTGTACTAGACAAACTATGAAAAAAATGACGAAATCATCTCGTATTCCTCTGTTTCCTCATCCAAAACTGGACTGATTTTAATTTTTTCAAATTCAAAAACCAATTGGAAATTTTAGTTATTTGAGAAGATACTTATGTAAAGTAAGTACTTAAAATTAGTAATAAATACTTTGTTAAAACTTGGTTGCAGTTGCATGTTGTCCATGAGCTACATTAGCCATTTGACATCAGTTTAATTGTTTTTTGTCACTTCAATTTTATAAAAAGAAGAAATATTCCTTAAATATTCACTCGTCATTAAACTTCATTTTGAATCGACATTCCAGTTACAAATAATTATATAATAAGGGTTATTCCGTTTACCCACTCTAAAGAATCCACACTAGGGTGGATACTCGGAAGCTCGGAAATGCGTGAATCCACCGCAAAAGGAGTGGATAATCGGAATTCACTTTTATTTGCTCTCCCGACTGGTTACCCCTAGTACAATTCAACACATGCACTTTAATTATTAATCAATTTTTAATAACCACAAACCTTATCAAAAAACTTATTATGTTATGCCTTTACCGTTACCGTTATAGCCTTTTAAAGTCCACGCATTACGTATTTCATTTAAATCAAATTAAGGTTCCTCGTTTTAAATAATATTATTGCGCAATTTATAAATTCTATAATATGCCCAGGCAATTACCAACACTAAATTATATGAGTAAAATTAATTCGTCACTTTTAATGTACATTAGCAATCGTTTTCTAAATTTCTTAGCTACCAAAGAAGTGTTGGTGAAGAACTGTGCGTTTTTATTGCAAGCATTCCAAAAACGTTACGATGGGAAGTGTGTCTGTAACTTCATTTTAAATTATTTTAAGCCAAAATTACAATGAATCTGTAATCCTGTGAGATACTCCTCATTTCAGCGTTGAGCTTTCAAACAAGAAGTATGTATATATATTTTATAGCTAATGTCTCCTAAGTATCTTGAGCCAGTTTTTAATAATGACTTTTTAATAATGATTAGAAGATTGTACACAGCCGAGGGAGAAAATCGGAAGAAAAATAATATATACACGAATTCCGATTATCCACCCCGCCTGAGGTGGATAGATGAACACGCGTTTCCGACTTTCCGAGTATACATTATATATATTATATTTCAGAGTATATATACCCCAGGGTGATTTTTTAGGGTGGATAGACGGAATAACCCAATATTAAAAGATTATTTTTTGTTTATAAATTTTTTGGGAAGAATTTTGTTGATTTTTGGGAAGTTGAAGAAGGAAATTTCACAAAATGAATAGTTACCTATTGCACGATATCTGTATATGTTTTCAGTCATTGTATTCATAGCCGCGTATAATTTTTGTAATATACAGGTGATTAATAAGAAACGAATTGCGGTATCTAAAATTGTCTTAGGGAAGTTAGACATAGGGTAATTTTGAGCCAAATATTTTTAATATGTATGAAAAAATACAAAAACAATTAATAGTTGAATTACCAAAAGAGGTATTTATTATATAGATTAACATGCATTCAAATTACATTAAAATAGTACATTCGAACAAACATGTAGCAATGTCACGTTTCTATAGGTAGTTATTAAGTTTGTACAGCAAAAATTATAAATCTCTATTACTTTTATATTAAAAACTAACTACTGTAATGGCCAGTACTATAAAATTTCTTTTAAAAAATAAACTTAATACAATTATAATATAACCTTCACATTCACATTTTACAACGCCCAAATTGTCGATATTTGTAAAAGTTGCATTAAATATTTCTAAAAAATAAAATATACTATTTAAACGTGACAAGGCATGTATTTTGATTATTATAATGATGTTAAGATTAGATCACGATAAACGATGTTATAAAGGGAAATTTCGATTACGGTAACCATGCTTAAAATGCGTGCATATAATTTATCGCGATCAATCTAGCAATTATTTCCATGAGTACACAATTTGTATAACTTGTTCAGCAACAACAACAACAGCGTTTATAATTTAATATGTTTTGTATATAATTATCCTAACAGTTAATCAACGCATAATAAACTAAGAAAGAGAAAATTAATATTTACCTAGTTACAATTCAGACTAAATTTACATGCTAAACAAATTTAACTGAACTTATATTTACATCTAATTACTCGTACTACTGCGATAAACATGGTAGTAATTAATTGCGCATTTTATAGACATAGAAATCTAATGGTTCAGTGAGAAAATTTAGCAATTAGTGCACTTACATGTAGGTACATTATAAATGTATTCGTCCGGAAGAATGCAAGTATGACGTTGCGTCAAGGCCACGGTAACAGAGAACTTTGAAATTCAATATCACTAAGTAACTATGAGGATATTCAGTGCCAAATTAGCCTAAAAATAAAGTAAACCACTGCTTAGACACTAAAATAAATGGTACCTCCCATAGAATTTACAAATATGATAATGATATCTATTAAGAGTGGTACTTGTAGGTAGGTACAGTAAATGTTGAAATTCTAAGCATCTAAACAATCTACGTTCTCAAAATCTAAATTCGAGTGATTTATTTATTGCTATTTTTTTCATATACGATATAATACAATGAAATAATATACAACGCTATAACAACAATAGAAATATCATTTCAATTGGTTTGAGGCTAAGTGGAATGTTGAAATTATCAAATAGGATTAATCTGGCACTGAGGATACTGAATATTTATTATTGATTCAATATCAACGACTTTCTCAAATTAAACTAAGTATTTGCAATCATCAACCTTATTTTTCTAGTATTAATGGATATATTACCCACATAATGTATTTCGTTGTAAAATCTACAAGTATACAATAACAAGTGTTATATAAATCGTGTATATTATGGTCTTATTACACGACATAGGAAATAAACTATGCGTAATACGAAAACAATTTCAATCTATATATTTAAAAGACTTATTTATTTATATATTTTACTTCATTTATGTTATTCGACAAACTACAAATTAGTTTATTATAATAGTAGGAAATATGCAAGATTGTTAAGCAACTCGTTATATATGTTAAAGGAGCATACTATGACGAATACATGAAATAACAACACTTTAAATAACCTGTCCTTCCTTCAGTAATTTCTTTTCTTCAGAAACCTTTTATTACTATTTCCGCAGTAAGAGTAATTAATATTGCGTTTACACGGAAAATGTCACTGAATTTATCGGAATCATAGCTTTGATTATTGGGTGATTGTTTAAAAATAAATCGATTTCATTATCCTTTTACATTTTTTTTTAATTTTGTTACATTTCTCGTATACAAAGAATTCAAAACGTGCAAATATTATTCGATCTTCAAAATTCTTTTAAAAGATTCAAAAGAATGTACGAGTATACACTTTACATTTGGTTTTTGGGCAAAACTGTTGTAGCATTTTTAAATTGTGTCGATTATTACACGTTTACACAAAATTAAAACAAACAAGATAAAAACAAAGCTTTAAAGCCTGTCTAAGTAACCTTTACACACAAGGTTAACAAATATTTTCTTATAATTAGGAGATTTAACTATTTAATAAGATTATATAAAATGTTGATTAATCTTGCTTTTAACAATATTGTCCTTAATAGAATTGCTCTCACACCTTTGCCAATATTTTTCAAAATATTATTAGCTTTTCGTGTCTTCTCGGACACTTCGCCTTTTGCCTTACGTCTCCAGTTTATTTTTTTTTGAACTAATTCTAGTAATCCAATGAGGTGAACATTTGAAAAACTTACTCAAAACTAAACTAACACATGCAGAAAATGCATAACCTTTTTTATAAAATTCATCCCTAGTTATTTGCTTCCCTTGCTATGTTTTCTTACAATTATCTCATCTATTGAATTTTCATCGAGTGTACTACTCGTGCGGTTTAAGAATGGGATTGAAAATGGTGTCGCCTCTGTTCACCTCTCGCTCGCACACTGTGGCAATCTACTCACACCCACCGGTAAAGACTAAAAAAAACGTTACGATATGCATTTTTTGTACGTCCTATAGCTTCAGTTCAAGTTGATATTGGAATTAATGATAACAAAATGCCATTAGGACATGAGTAATAATTTTTAAAATTTTCGTTTGTCTGTCTGTCTGTCCGAGCTAAGCTTCGGACCAATAGCAGAGCATACTAGGAGCGATCTATACTATATTTTATCGGAAAAAATTTTGAGATTTTATTAAAGTAGAAATATTGACAAGAATATAAAATAAATGGTCTTAATAATTATCATATATCTAAATTATAAAGCCACATTAATAGATCCCAACCTGACGTAGCAAGACGCTGTAGCGGGTCGCTATTTGTAAATGTTATTTTAAAATTAATGTACTTCCTTGCGTTTAAACTCTTTTAAAATAATTTCCCCTTAAAAAAATTACAATTAACCGAAAAATATCATGTTAAAACGATACACCTTTATTAGCGGGTTTTCGCTATTAGTAATGTGCTTGTTGACGGTACGGGCTCGATGAGACGCTATTTGTAATCCCATTCTTTATCCGTAAGGACAGTACTGCGTGTTTCTAAAATATTAGGATTTTTGAGTATAATGTTAACAAAAGCTTTTTCTTACTCAATATTTTAAAACTTGATAAATACGTTAAAAACTAGTTCATAAAATAAACCATGACATAATAAAATATAAACGTGATTAGCTTCAACTTTTCTATTCTATGAGGTCAGACATGTTAACTGGAATGTAATGGATATCTTTGCAATTATTTAGAGATATAAATGGTATATATAATACATGTTATAATATAAGTTTCATAACAATTGATATAATACAGAGTTGTGCTAGCGAGTTGCCGCTCCTCTACGAAGTCGCAGCGAATGAATAGTGTATGGAAGAGTTGGAGACAGTGACAGAGATATACTACGTGTGCGACGCAGAACACGACGCGGGTACCGAACGGGTTCGATCACAATGCAGCTCAGTTGATTCATTTTTATTACAAACTTATTGTAGAATCCTATTGTTACATTTAATACTATTTCCTATACGTTTCGCGCCAAACGTTGTACTTTCTTTACAACCCATTAAAACCAGTGCAATAGTCTAATCTTAAAAAAAATCTTTCAGAAGTGGTTAATCAAAACGACAAACGAATTTGCCATTATAGCAGACCCGCGGTAATCCGACAAACGTTTTGCAAAGCGGTGTCGGATAATCGAATTTGTCGGACTATAAGAGTACTGCTACGGCCCCCTGGTAGTCCGCAACTTATTGAAAAAGAGTTCCTTGTAATCCTACAGATTACATAACAAATATAAAATGATAAAAAATGGTGATGATGAGTGATGTACAATGAATACCTAAACAGTAAGTAATGAAAGCCCGCTAGGCCGCTACCGTAGTTACATTTGAACTGAGACTACGCGTCAAGCTCATTGACTTATATAATACTCTTTTGAAATCATTGGTTAAGCTAGATTCGTGGTGGCACGAACTAATTGCAACCATTTTGTCAACGTATTCGTGAAGGACACCTCCCCCCTGGCGGATTCATAGCGCGACTCGAATATACCTACAAGTTAGACATGTCGAATTACAAAGGAAGACGAATTAGCCATGGGCCGGATTACCGGGGGTCCGCTGTATTGTATTGGTATGAATGAGTCATATTATAATGGTCGTGTCTATTTATGAAACTTAAACGTGCAGACAGTTAAATTTATTAATACAACAACATTATGATAATCGTAACATATGTCGAAACAAAATGCACCCGAAAGTAATGAGATTTTTTTCCAGATTGTTCAATGTAAAAAGTCATTTTGGGTTTACATGTCCCCAAATATGCCTGCGAATGTTTTCCTAAGGTTCTTCATGGTGTCTTCAGCATCTTCAGTAAGCGCAGCGCTCAGGGAGCCCTGGCGGGTGAAGCCCCCGCGGCCACTTGCTGAAGTGGAAGCCTGGGCAGGGGTTGCGCCTTGTGCCGAGCTGCTTGCAGTGCTCGGTGCCGCAGACACTGACGACACGGTTGATGATTGAGACGCTGAGAATGACAAACATTTATTTAATGTACGTAAATGAAAAATATTTATCTCTTATTTTTATTTTAAGATTTACTTGGTAAATGCACCTAAAATGTTTTGCTACCGTAACATTAAGACTAATTTAGCTATCGGGATTTACGGTTTAATTGGATAAAAAGTTGAAACCAAAAATACGCACTTTTAAAATACTCGTAAAATAGTCACTGTGGAGTGGCGTCTGTCTTATTTTAATTATTTAAATTTACATTCACATTTTCGACTTTCCAAAATAAAAACAAAAATGTCTTTTGATAGAATGTAGCCAAGGTCACTCCTGGCATCGCTTCCTATGTGTTCGTGAAGTTAAAATATTTTCAGCCTTTCGTAGATTACCCCGCACGGATAGACAGACATACTGATAGACAGACAGAAAAATTAAAAAATAGTTATTTATTTCTAAGTAGCATGTACTGAGCTTAAAAAAAGGCAGTTATTTGTATATAGCAGACAGACATTTGAATTTTATTTATATGTATGAATTATTGTAAATTTACAATTAATTGCAAATAGGGTTGATTTCAAACATTTCTTCGTATAGATAGTAAGATCACAAGCGTCGGAAATAAGAATATTTGTATGAAAATTAACTTTTAATACAAAGTATAAGTACTTCAAATAACTAAAACTAATAAAATAATTTCCACGTCACAACTTTTGAAGCTGCGATAAAGCTCTCTTGCTGAACTGATGAATTCTTTCAATATCGTGAAGTCTTTACTTTTTATTAAACGTTAAATTTTTTGATCCTTTTGCATGAATTTTTTGATCCTTTTGAATGGACTAATGAATATTATAAGATGAATGTAACAAAATGTCGTTTAAATAGTTGCATTAAAATATTCATGCCTATTGCTGTTCAACCTAACATTTAAGTTCAGCCTATTTAATAAAAAAGAATAATTAAAATGCGTCTCTATTCTAATAACTCTTTTTTATTCATCATAATTATAAAATCATTAAGTTTCGTGCTGTAAACAACACTCATGATCACCAGGGGGGGGACTCTACTCGTCGGAAATTAAAAAGTTCAAATTAAAAAAACCCGTTAAAGTTAGTTTCATTTAATGTATAGTATTCGTGTAAGTATAAGTCGATCGAGGTAGGACCACGTTCACACATATTACCAGCGTAAAACAGCAACTTAATGCTGCTGTGTTTCGTATGTTGAGTATAGAGAACCGGAGACCCTTTTTACTGGAAACGAGGCATTCCATCTTAGTCCTCAGGGGTGACAACGCATCTGCATTTTGATTCGTAATCGAGGATAGATGTAGATGTCTATGGGCCACAGCAACCACATACCATCAGGTGGACTGTGTGCTCGTTTGTCAACCTATGCTATAAAAAATACTTATAATTTAAAACGTTGAAAAATAATGTAGACTGACTAAATTTTCACTACCACATCGTCCATTAAGGTTTCATTGACAAAATTCAATAAGTTAAATTATAAATTGTGAACTGAAGCTAAACAATAAAATAAAATCTGGAAAGTTATAGAAAGTTTTCAAATGAAGGTTATTGTTTATTATTTATTGGAGCCCGGTTATTTTGAGCTTTTATGAGCACCAATTACGAATACAATTAGGGATCACTTTTTATGTTTAATCATCATCATCATAAACACTAACGCCTATCACCCAGAGGGGTAGGCAGAGACTACAGACTTCCATTTGGCACGATCCTGACACACCTATCTCGTTTCTTCTACATCCATATACCTACGCATACATGTTCGTCGGTTAAGGGTACTCCTAATTTGACCCATTTTCAATATATTGCTTGAAGATAAATGTAGATGTCTGTGGGCCACAGCATCCACTTACTATCAGGTGGACTGTGTGCTCGTTTGTCACCCTTATTCTATAAAAAACAGTAAATGCTGCTAACTAATAGTTTTACCTTGCGAATCTCGCCTGGCCAAAGGAGGTGGGGGTGGCTGGGCGGGTTCAGCTGGTATTGGTGGCAGAGGGCGGTCAATGCTGGCAGCAGTGGCGAGGGGGGGCAGGCGGTGGCACACTCGGCGGACCTACGCTGACAGAGCGTTCTTCAGGCGATGCTGCACCACTGCCTGATACTGAGCTTCGTGAAACCGTCTTCGTTATTCCGGGACGGCAGACAGACTGCAATGATGATTATAATTAATGATTTCTTATATTTACACACGTATTTTACTCAGTGACTTTATACTATAACTACTAATTTTAATGATTGAAAATTATTCTCAATGACTTTCTATTGATAACATTAAAATTTTATCAAGAATAACGTATTATTTTAATTTAATTATATGCCTTAGAATGACGTGCAGTTTAGTGATCACTTGGAATAGAAGGCTAAATTGGCCTCTAAAAAGCTTGGCGTGCTCAGCAGAGCGGGAGAGTATTTCATGACGGCACATAACTTGCAACTTTACAAGGTACAAAGTTCGGCTTCACATGGATTACTGTTCTCATCTCTGGGCCGGGGCAGCCCAGTACCAGCTTCTTCTGCTTGACACTTGACAGCATCCAGTATAGAGCGGCTCGAATCGTCGACGACCGAGTTCTTTCTGATCGGCCCGATTCACTGGCGCTGCATAGGGATGTTGCATCTCTTTGCATTTCCTATCGCATCTTCCACGGGGCATGCTCTGAGGAATTGTTCGGCTGATTCCAGCCGCCAAATTTTATGAACGCACATCGCGACAAAACTTACGCTACCATCCACATCATGTGGATGCTTGGCGGTCCATCACTGTGTCACATCACATTTTAATAGTTTTCTTCCTTGCACAACCTCTTTGTGGAATTGCTTACGACCGGCGATTTTTCCGACCCGATACGACTTAGGGACCTTCAAGAAAAGAGTGTACTCTTTTCTAAAAGGCCGGCAACGCACCTGCAATTCCCATGGTGTTGCGGTTGTTTATGGGCGGCGGTAGTCACTTACCATCAGGTAAGATAAAAAATATAGGTATCAGTAATGGAAAGATTTTATTTTAATTTTATTACACTAACACTTGAAAAATTTCTTTTCAAAAGGAATAAAATATTTCATCGTGATCTCTGAATTGGTTTAACCGAGAAGTTGGTAAACATACGTTAAAATACGCATCAGATATACAATATGTAACGTAATTAACGCACACCCTCAGACACCCCAATTAGTATATTATGTTATAATCATAATATACTGAATTTTTAGTTAAACATTTTTATGCACTGATTATTTATCAAATTAGTTATACTAATTCCGGAAGAATGTTGTAGTTTGTAGTTGTACAAATCCACGAACGCAAAGACTTTAACGTGCTTGAAATAAAGATAATTTTCCTTTATTTTTATTGAATGACAGAATTAGTGATAATACAAATAAAACTGCACTCTTAAAAGTCTTATTGCCTTAAGTTACGGTCCATTTCAGTTTGTTTTGACTGTACAGATTTAGTGTGACTGTAATTTACGTAGTTTTAATTAATTTTGGGATAAAAAATTACCTATATTAAAAATGATCGATTCAGTAAACGATTCTAAACAAACTACTTTCTCAAAGTGCGTTAATTATGTTACGTGTTGTATAGCCCCATCGTTTTTTGAACTCGCTTAAATAAGAATAATTTTAACGATCGTGAGTTTATTTTAGCCTTTCCACGTTTATAAACAATAAAAACGCAATAGTATGATGCTTACAGCTATTATTGCAACATTCATGATGCGATGATTCAGCTGTGTAAACGAATTCGATGCAGTCACGCCATACACACCTAGCTGAGCTACACCCTGAGTGCCTAGTGCCTATTGAGCTGTGAGTCAACCGAAGTCTTTCGAGATGACGAGCACGATTTCATATGAATAACTTGACTGAAGTTTTATGATCTTGGAAAGGAAATTATTTGATGAAATCTGTCTTTGTCATTTTGTTTACTCATTTGCATAGTTATCCACGTAAGTAAGCGTTGCTTGTAAATATCGTTTATGAAAGTTTTACGATAAACAGTTTTTGGGTGAAACCTGGTTGGCTAGCAGAAAATTTTTAGTTGGGGTTATAGAGGGATAAGTGGCTTAGCGGTTGTCTATAGTAAGCCCTGTAGTTTTCTTTCTATGTTTATTTTTAATTTTTACTATATAGTTAGTACTTTTATACAGAGTAGTTTTATATAGGTTATTTTTCGAAGAGTAGCCAAATTTTGCAGTTTTCGAAAATACGAGTAAATAAGGCTTCTACATTTTTTTAAATTATCTCAAATTGAATGTAATTTATAACAACTACGCGTACGCGCGCCCGTCTGTGTGCTAATCAAAGAGATTTAAATATAATATACTAATACGTAAATGTCTTTGGTGCCATTCAATTCACACCATTTTTGAAGACCGAGTGAATCTTACGAATGTGTGCATGCGTAGTAAAAAAGTCGGTGTTAGATATTTATGAATGACAACCAGTTAAAATAATGCATTACCACGCATTCTGAATTTAAAAGATAAAAAATAATTGTTAGAGATTTTTTTTTAATTAATTTTTCTTCACCATTCGCCTAAATTACTTATTCTGAAATTTCTCTGCAAATTTGGCCGTATATTGCGAAATAACCCTGTATATCTGCGACACATAATTTTAAGGTTTTGAAACATTTGAGTTGAAATCAGAATTTTAACTTTTAAAGATATTTTAAAGGACATATTTTAGTGCAGATGACAAGTAATAAATAGAAAAATTTCACTGTATTCAATATTCGACAAGATGCGATTCTATCACAGGAGTTCAAACAAAAACCAAAATAAGGAAAAAGATCATTTCTTAGTAAAATTTACATGAAGTATTATTAATTTTAAACACGTCGCAAAATGAACGAATAAAGAAAATTATCATACCTGCATACGCTGCAATACAAGCTCCGCTAGATAGCGTCGATCTTCCTCTTGAGAATCACCCATGAACGAAGTAGCAGAGTCGTTTAATTCTATGATGTGCTCGCGGCCATCTTTTCCCACCACCAGTTCTAAAGCGCAAACTTCCAATCCGCCGAATATTTCGCTCACCTGTCAAAAATAACAATAATCAATTTTTACATATAAAAATCATCACTGGTTACAATGCAAAAAAAGAACTTTTACATCCTATATATGATGCAATCCTTTTTGTGAGCAACGAAACGTTTATGAAAATTTTTACTAAATGGGTAATTAATAATAATGTCTTCCAGACCGAATTTCAGTCACGGCAGACTGCCTCAACGGAGACTAGGCATCGACGCAGGACAGGATTATAGTGCCTCGTAAGTGTATGCGCAAGCACAGGTGCACTTTCTATTCCCTCACTCTCGTAATTCGATGGGACGGTAAACCGACACCACCAGAGAGAGATCAGGCGCAGGGCCAACAGTTTTAGGTGCTTTCCGAGGCACAGGAGTGCCTCACCGCCAACTTCCTGACTCCGGGCAGCTACTGAGAATTTCTTGACGAAAAAACTCAATAACTGATTTTTTGGCCCGAATCAAGATTCGAACTCGAGATCTCATGATCAGCAGTTGCACTACTGCAACCACTAGACCAACGAGGCAGTCAATAAACAAAACAGTGTAAAGTAAACAATGAGTAATATATATATATATATATATATATATATATATATATATATATATATATATATATATATATATATATATATATATATATATAAAATACATACCTCGTCTATCCACATTTTATATCTGTCGTTCATTCCGATAGCTTCAAGCATGGCCGATCCTTGATTGGTTTTCCAATTTCCTGATATAGATTTGCGCCTGGAACAATTATTTCCATATTATTATTCGTTCTTTGGTTAACAAGATAACACTTCAATATTAATTAAAACGTTTTTATCAAACAAAATGCTTATTTAGATATTTTCATATTGCGTATCGTTTTATCTTGATCTTTGTTTAATACTCAAAGACCTTGATTCATCATTTTTTACTTCATTTCATCTTATCAAAAGTTCACTGCTAAATATAGGACCCTATAGATTATTTATACATAGGAAGGATATTTATAAAAGATAAAAAATAAAGATAAAAAGAAAAAATAGAAGGGATATTTGCAATAGTTGCCACACCTTGCAGACTGGTTGGCAACTGCAGTATTTTGATTATTTTTGGAGATGTTACGAGGAAGATATCCATCTCCTGTTCCTTGCCCAATGATGTCTCTTACGACATACTGACATGATGACTGAATGATATGATGACGTGGGACACTGGATGCCACCATTAAGAGCTATTAAGAGAGAGTAAGGGTGATAAACGAGCCTACAGTCCACCTGATGGTATGTGGATGCTGTGACCCATAGAGAAAAAAGGTCTACAGTTTTCTACACTCACGTTTACGATGATCTTCATAGAAGAGTGGTCCTTCCCCGGTCGAGAAAAGCTACTTTGTGCTACAACAAAGATATAGACGCGGCGTGGCTCTACTGCGTATAAATTTATTAAGATTAATATATTTCTCGAGTTGTAGTAGTACGAAAAACGTTAATTTTAAGTAAAAGTGTCTGTAATGTTTTGTTATTGACAATTATGTTACAAAATAAGTGACATCTTGCTTATATTATTTTGAACAAATAGAAGGAACCTGACAAACCTTTATAATGTGTATTTTATTGATTTGATTACTGGAGTGACTACAATTTATACATACACTCATTTAATTTACTAATCACAACTTTATACATGTGTGTGATTATTATTCAACGCCTGACGATTTATAGTAATTGCTATCTGAATTAGTTTGACCAAACACGCAACAGTAGGCGTTGGCAAGTAAACAATATTGGTTAAAATATCAGTTATTGGGTTTTTCTGTCAAGAAATTCTCCGTTTCAGCTCGGAGTTAGAAAAATGGCAGTGTTTCACCCCCGAGAATCGGAAACTACATAAAGCCGTTGGTCCTACGCCTAATGTCTCTCCGGTCGTGCCGAGTTACTGTCCCATCGCGTCGGATTATGAGAGTAGAGTAGGAGCACAATTGTGGTTGCTCATACACTTGTGCACCATAATTCTGTCCTGCGAAGATGACTAGTCTCATTGGAGACTGGCCGCCGTGACCGAAATTCGGTTTGGAGGACATTATTATTATTATTATTGATAAAAATATGGAGCAGAGGCCAAGTGCAGATTTCGTCAAAATATATTTACTATTCTGGCCTATTCCCAGAAACAGGCGCCAAATTTACTGATGAAATAATATTTACGCAGTTCATTCAGATGTTTGGAATGAGCTTCGAAGGCCAATTTTACAAACAATGACGAATAACGTATGAAAAATGATTTGACTTTATTAGACTGTGTTTCTTGGAGTTTTTTTATACCACAGTTATCTACACATCAGTACCTACAAACAAATAAATTAAAGTGTCTGTTTATGTCAAAATTACAGCTTTTTACTAAATGCATATAAAAGTATATACGGTACTTTTAACATAAAGACAATTTTTTAAATTTTTGTCTGTCTGTCCGTGTGTCTGTTTGTTCCGGCTAATCTCCTTAGAACGACTAGCGTATTATAAAAAGATAATAAGGTAGTTTCACCATAAAATTCGTAAGAGAATGTACGTATTAGAGCCACGCTACAGTTTATTATGCTTTATTATGTAACACAAATAGGTAGGCTCGAGAAGGACCACACTCTCACAGAATACCAGCGTAAAATAATACTGCTACGTTTAGTACAGCGAGTGTATAGAAGCGGAGATCATTTTAACGAGGAATTCTTAGTTCTCGGGGTTAAAACGCATCTCAAATTTGATTCCTAATTGAGGATAGATGTATGTAGGTATAGTAGGTATATCTATGAGCCACGGTACCCACTTACCGTCAGATGAACGGTGTGCTCGTTTGTTATCCTTATTCTATAAAAAAAAACTCTCTCAAGCAAATGTGATATGATTTGTGTAATAGAAGGGATACATAATATATAGTAATAAATGTATCCTTTCCAAAAATGCGCAATTACGTAACTGAATGATATGCCCAACATTCACCACAGTGGATAGCGTAGAACCGTCACCCTCATACTCACATTGGATTAGGATTCTGTATTTTTCGAATGGTTACCTATAAAGCTATTATTAAGAGTTAAAGTCGTTCGTACTTTAATTTCAGTGTGCAGGTGGAGTTTAGGAAAATATTCATTGTCATTACATAGCTTGTTCAGCAGATATATTTATAGATTACTAAATATCTCAAAAATTAATGATTTCTTATATTTATGTTCTAGTATTATTTCAATGTGTCGCGAACACTACACATTGAAATAATACTAGTTTTTCGGAATTTATCGCGTATATTTAACTTTTTAAATACCCGACGTTTCGAGAGCTTTACAGCACCCATGGTCACGGGAAGGACTGAGATGTTCAACGTCCAGATGTCATAGTTAACCGCGGTTACCATAGATTAAAATTTAACTTTTGTTCCGATCTACACAGTATGAACTTATGGTATCATGAAGTCTTGCAGTTGTATACTTGGGTTGGGATTTAATTTTATTTATTATATGATCCCAAGCAGAAGTTTAAAAAGTTAAATATACGCTATAAATTCCGTAAAAACTAGTATTATTTCAATGTGTAGTGTTCGCGTAAATATAAGAAATCATTATGTAAACCAGTACGGACTGGTAATTGCAAATAAAATACGCCGATTAGAAGATCTAAAAACTAAGCGCGCAAGATATCTAACAGCCTAAAATTTCTTAAAGAGATGCCGAGACCATAATCTCATTCCTACGTGTGTAAAAATATCCACCAAAAAGGACATTCGAGGAAGCGCTAAGATCTTAAATCAGGCGAGTAAAAAGTTGTTACGGGCGGTAATCCAACAAAAACGCTCCGATATATATGACATAAATAAATCCATAGACACATCATCCAGTGAATTAAAGAAAGTTTTAACGACGTTTGATTATAACTTTTGCGTGGAAACATTAAATAAACGCGAAATTAGTAAATATAACGAATGCAAAAACAAACATATAGAAAAATATCAAAAATTAACGGCCAAATCAAATGTCAAACATCCGAATCAATGCAAGAACCAAAAGCAACCATTGACAAACACAGATCATAGATTAATCGCGTTCTATAATCTGTCAAAACAAACACTGGATGATGCAACAATTAAGGTTTTATCCAAAGGCCTCAATTATGCTATAACTCCACGCAGATTGCCGTACGAAGAAATTATCTGTAGTGTCGAGGACTGTTTATTTAAAAACTATATGCGGAAAGAAGATTTGGAGGCGATACGTCAAGACATTTCGTCTATGTTACGTCGATGTTCAGTGCCTAAACCGAATCTTCCCAAAGACGAATTTATACCGTTAAAGAACCTACGCAATAAACCAGAACTTACTATTCTCCGCGCAGATAAGGGAAACGCCACGGTAGTCATGGATACGTCAGATTATAATTCTAAAATACAAGAACTTTTGTCGGATGTAAGTACTACGGTGTAAGTACTAAAAGGTTAAAAACGACCCAACAAATAGCACACTAAAAACAACTAGTGACCTCATAAAGAAACACTCCGAAAAATTAAATCTGGACGTAAAATGGATAATAAACCTACGTGCGCCAAATCACCAAAGTTGTTTGGGTTACCAAAAATACACAAGCCCAATGCTCCATTACGTCCCATAGTGAGCCAAATCGATTCACCAACTTACAGATTGGCTCAACACTTAGCGAAAATACTCTCACCGCTCAGGGGACATACAAGAGCACACATAAAGGATTCCTACCATTTTGTCAGCGAGATTAAAGACCTACGTCTGGCAGACAATGAAACTATGGTCAGTTTTGATGTGCAGTCATTGTTTACATGCTTACCTGTTGAAGACTATTCTCAATTGTAACTAGAAGGCTGGAAGAAAACAACATGCCCGTAGAATATGCAGTATTACTCAGACACTGCCTTACTTCTGGCCTATATCTGGCATATACCTATTGTGGAAGGAGGAGTTCTACAAGCAAGTAGATGGTGTGGCGATGGGCTCACCTGTATCTCCCATTGTCGCCGACATATTCATGGAAGACTTTGAGGAGAAAGCCCTGCTTACTTCTCCCATAAATCCAAGATTCTACAAGCGGTACGTAGACGACACTTTCACAATTCTACCTTTAAATAAAGTAACTGCATTTTTAGACCATCTTAACTCCATAAATTCTAAAATTCAGTTCACAATGGAGTTAGAGGCAAACAATTCCTTAGCTTTTCTAGATGTGTTAGTAATTCGGAATCCTGATAACACCTTGAGCCATACTGTGTATAGAAAAAAGACTCATACTGATAGATATTTAAAGGCGATTCTCACCACCATCCTTCACAGTTAGCTACCGTGGGTAAATCTTTGTTTCAGAGAGCACGAGGGATCTGTGACAGTAAACACCTGGCTGCCGAGCTCCAACACGTCAAGCAAGTTTTGCATGACAACAAGCTTCGGGTCCCGCGCCTACGTCACAGAGAACGTGTGAAACCGGCCACAGTCGAGCGTGTATCTGCTGTACTGCCATATGTTAGAGGAGTCACTGACAAGATTGGATACATCTTGAAGCGCGCTTCCATCAAAACATACTTCAAGCCACCGAAGAAGATTGGTTAGTTTTACCATCAGTCAAGTGTAACGTCTCTCTGCAAGATGCAGGAGTGTACAAGCTTGATTGTGAATGTGGTCTCTCCTACATAGGACAAACTAAAAGATCAATTAAAACCCGCGTTAAAGAACATATAGGTGATGTGAAGAATCGACGCTCCGGGAAGTCTGCAGTCTGTGAACACATACAGGATCGCCCCCATCACTACATTAGATTTGATAGACCACAAATCCTCGCTAAAGAACACCGATTCCTTCCAAGGATAATTCGCGAGGCTATTGAAAACAAAAAACATCCTAATTTCAATAGAGAAGATGGCTGGGTGCTACCATCTGCTTGGGATCCTATAATATATAAAATTAAATCCCAACCCAAGCATACAACTGCAAGACTTCATGATACCATAAGTTCATACTTGTAGATCGGAACAAAAGTTAAATTTTAATCTATGGTAACCGCGGTTAACTATGACATCTGGACGTTGAACGTCTCAGTCCTTCCCGTGACCATGGGTGCTGTAAAGCTCTCGAAACGTCGGGTATTTAAAAAGTTAAATATACGCGATAAATTCCGTAAAAACTAGTATTATTTCTATCTCAAAAATTATTTGCTAAGATCCGCTTAGTATGATGTGTTTTACCTAGCTTAAAGATCTCCCCCCACCCTCCCTATCACTATCCCGAAGACGGTATAATTCAGACGGAATAAGACGGACACAAACTGAATAAGATACTTCATTTTATTTTATTGAGATCTTTAATATGATGGATTTCCGCAAAGTAACGTCTGATTCTAATAATTGTCTTGACAGATTGCATCATAGCCTCAATATCCCCCAATGTTACCACGCTGAGCAGACGGATTTCTTTTTTATACATGAAATTGCTGCTGCCCAACTCCTATTTCAGTGTCCCACTGTTGTATCATATGACACTCATGAGATGATATGAGGTACTACACCGCAAATTATTTATATATGGTAATTTGCAGGGTACTTATTTTTTTACAGAATAAGTGTAACAAACGAGTACACAATCTACCTGATTGTAAGTGGATGCTGTGGCCCATAGACATGTACATTTATCCTCGATTAAGAATCAAAATGAAGATACGTTGTCACTTCTGAGGACTAAGATGGAATGTCTCGTTACCAATAAAAAGGGGTCTCCGGATCTCTACACAAATCATACGAAACGCAGCAGCATTAAGCTTCTATTTACGATGGTTGCAGGTGAGGTTAGCAGGCAAATATTAATGCAGAAGAAATTTAGATAAAGTTAGCTAAATAGGTACTGTACAAAAATGTACTCTAAAATATGTACTATACTCACATAAAAGCTTTGTAGTTAGTACCGATCTTTTGTATATGGATGTCGTACTTGGCGTCGATATATGGCTCCACAGTGCAGTAAGTTCCCAGCATGGCGACCACACCCGCAATATCCTAAAAGTATTGAATATCTATCAACAGGTTATTATTTTAGAAGTTTTTCTTAACCAGTCTTAATAATTTTTTACGACCAGGCAGCGTAGTGGCTAAGCGACTGGGCACTTCGGGTTCGAACTTCGCACGAAACAAATATTTGTGTAGCCTACAAATAAATATAAATACCAGGTTTGAATGTATAAATTACGTATGTAAACCGCCAACTCAAATTTTTTAGTGCGATTATCTTGTCTCGTGGGAGTGATAATATATTGTAATATATTATATAAGTAATGCATAAATTGGGCATTATTGCACAACCTTGATATGTATAATATGTGCCCATAGGGATCACCTACGTGATGTGGTGACAAAGAATTAAAGGCACCAGCGATAAATTTCAGTACTTACATCGTTTATCACATTTATTGCCATCTACAAACGCGAAACGACCATAAAAGTATTTTTAAGCTTTGATGAAAGTGTTCAGATTACAAATGGAAAACAGAGCGACAAGCGCACCTTGTTTTTTTATTAAGCATCAAACCAATAAGGCATATATTATTTGTTATCGTAAAATATTTCTATTATAGGATTAAAAACTACGTGTTGTCTTAATTATGGGTTTTTATAGGAGAGGGGCAAAAGAGCATACGGCTCACCTGATGGTAAGTGATCACCGCCGTCCATGAACAACTGCAACACCAGGGGAATTGCAATTGCCAGCCTATTAAAAAGAAGTAGGTTCTTTTCTTGAAGGTCCCTAAGTCGTATCAGTCCGGAAAAATCTCTGGTGGTTGTCGATTCCACAAGGAAGTTATGCGAGGAAGAAAACTTCTTTTAAATCGCACGGTGGTGGACCGCGAGTCATCCAGATGGTATATAGGTGGTATCACGAGTTTTGTTGCGATATGCGATGGTGAAATTTTGCGGCTGGAATTAGTCCGAACAACTCCTCAGAGCACTCCCTGTGGTAGATGATAAAATACGCAAAGAGGTGCAACATCTCTTCGCAGTACCAGTGAGTCAAGCCGATCGGAAAGAGCTCGGTCGCCGACGATTCGAACAGCTCTGCACTGGATGCGATCAAATGGAAGGAGCTGGCACTCGGGGGCCCCAACCCAGAGATTTTAATAGTATGTGTGTGGCCATGTGCGGCCGAACCTGTGCCTTGTAAAGTTGCAGGTGGTTAGCCGGCATGAAATACTCTCCCGCTCTACTGAGCAAGCCAAGCTTTTTAAAGGTCAATTTGGCCTTCTCTTCCAAGTGACCACGAAACTGAACGTCATTCGATATGTCGACGCCGAGGATTCCGATACTGGCTGAGGCAACAAGGGGAGTGCCTTGAAACTGAAGAGATACGACGAAGGTGTTCTTTTTAGCGGTAAACTTGTGTTTTCTGGGGATTAAACTGGACTCGATTTAGTCGCCCCCAGTCCAAGACTTTGTACAACAAAGTCTCGACTTCAGAGACAAGTTTGTCCCGGTACTCGGCGACGTTTTCCCGAGAAATATTGGCACGGCCGGTGTATAAGGCATCACCAGTGCTGTCGTCTGCGTAGCAATGAATATTACCAGCTTGCAACATGTCATTGATATGAAGAAGAAACAGCGTTGGTGATAGCACGCAGCCTTGTGGAACACCAGCGTTAATGGACTTGTAATAGGAAAATGCACCGTCTACTACGACCTTGATGCTCCGATCAGCAAGAAAACTGGTGATCCGATTGCACAATTTCTCAGAAAGCCCATAGGAAGGAAGCTTCGTAAGAAGCCCTTTGTGCCAAACCCGATCGAAGGTTTTCGCTATGTCCAAATTAACGGTCAACGCCTCCCCCTTGGACTATACTGCCTCAACCCATTTAAGAGTCAGGTAACCCAGAAGATCACCAGCCGAGCGACCGCCAAGGAAACCGTACAGGTGGTCACTAATCAGCTGGTGATCCTTAAGGTAGGTATCGCATGAGCTAGCCGATAATAATGGATTCCATTATTTTAGAGAACAATAAGGTGACGGCGATAGGTCTAACGAATCAGAGCGGTTACATTTTTTAGGGATCAGGTGCACGAAGGCTGTCTTGTATGATGAAGGGACTACGCCTAGGGAGTAGGAGTACCGGAAAAGACGCGGTAAAATCGGTGCCAACTCCTGAGCACATGTCTTCAGCACAATAGGAGGGACGCCATCAGGCCCTCTTAACTTGTTGACGTCCAGGGAGAAGAGTGCTCTGCGCACCGAGCGTTGAGTAAACAGCACATCCTGCGTGGAGCACTCACACCGCGGGATGGTCGACGGTGTGTTCCCCCGTCATCAAGAGTCGAGTTGAACACAAAGAGAGAGCCCAGCAGATCGGCTTTGTCCTTTGGGGCATGAGCCAGTGAGTCGTTCTCCCTATGCAGAGATGGGAGAGATGGCTGACAGAAGTTCCCTTGGACAACCTTGGCGAGAGATCAGAATGCACGTGTTCCCGGAGGAAGACGAACTAGTTTCTCGCTAATTCTGCTGATGTGCTCTGACTTTGCCTTGACAATGACACTTTTGAAGGACCTGGAGGCAGAATTATACTTCTTTTTAAAAGAGCTGGTATTTACATCCTGAGACGTCGATGCGCGAGCCCAGGTCTGGTAACACTTGCTTATGACGTAATACAATTTTGCAGGAGCGACCAAACCAAGGCTGGGTTCTGCCTCCGATAGGTACCACAGATGATGGAATAAAAAGTTCCATTCCCTGTAGCACCACATCAGCGACAGAATCAGCATCAACGCTGGGATCATCCGGCGAGAAGCAAACCCGCCTCCAAGGGTGGGATGCAAAAAAGATCGCACCAATCGGCTGACCTATAACGCCAAACACGGCGGCAACCTGCAGTACGCAACCGCGATGGGAGCGTGTGTGGCACCGTACACTTGATCAGACAATGGCCCGAGGAGACCTGATATCCGTCCGTATGAGAGGTCAGCAGAAGGTCCAACAGGAAGGTACATGATGTTCCGCATCTGAAATCCGCGTAGGCGAGGTAACAAGTTGTGACCAGACCATATGCCAAAGCAAAGTCATAATCGAAGTAAAGTCATAGTCGAATCGAAACGAAAACCAAGCCATTCAGAGCGGTGGGCGTTAAAATCACCCACATCACACTGACGGGTCTGCAGCCATCTGTTTAAATTACATAATTTTAATATATCATAAAAATTATAATAAAATTAGATAATTTTAACTTTTTATATGAAAAGGGTTAATACGAAAAAACTGGAGTCTTTGAAACCTACTAATCAAATTATGATTAAAATAATCGCTAACATTACACAATTTATCGCGCAAGTTAACACGGCATTGAGCAGGGTTTACCTGGAAGTCGGCCAAGGAGTCCACTTTCACCTTGGCTACGCCGCTGTGCGCGTGCCCAATCTTGATTACCACCGGGAACTTCGGCGCTGTTACCTGTAACAATGAGTGACACATGAATTAAAAACCTTTCAACAGTTACCTAATTATCTGCAATCATTAATGAAACGAAAGTTTTAGAAAGAAAAATGCATTTATTATATTTATTATATATTATATTAATCATATTTCGAGATGCACCTAGATGTAATCTTTTTTAAAATGATTCCAGTTTTAAGTTACATAAAGTTTTAAGAATGTTCATCATTATTAAAAACTTTAGCCTTAAATCGTACGTAATTATTAAGTAATATTTTCCAGTTTGTGTTTTTTTTATATAAATATCTTAAATGAAAAATGACTAATGCATAATGTAAAATGAATGCATGTAAAATGAAATAAAAGTTATACGTTTTATTTCTATAGTCTCGAGTTTGAAGCTGTAGCACTCTACATACATATTTTCCTTTTTAATATCTGTATTACTAGGTACCCGTCCCGGCTGCGGTCGATCTATTATTGTGGCGTTAATTAGATTTGGGATTTATTATTTTTTTGTTTTATTTTATCAAAAAGTATTTTCAAGTTTTACGGATGAAATATAGCTTAGATCCGTCCTGGCTTTGTTCTCTATCTGTTCGTAAAGTTTCATCAGAATCGGTTCAGCCTTTCAGAAGGTTAGTACGGACAGACATACATTTTTTTAAATTGGTTTTTTATGGCTTATAGAATCCATAAACAATAATATATAAGCAAAAACAAAAATAAGATAATATTATATACATACACTTAAATTTTATATAAGTGTAGATTATCTCAAAGATTATTCAATCGATTTTGCTAATTTGGTGTAAAAATATAAGCATACTTTCTTTACTGTACGATATCATATTAAATAATACAACGGATCTGATGACGATTTAAGTCTTTAATATTTATTTAATAGTATAAATATTAAAAATAATAAATATTAATTTGGGGGATAAGTTGCTCACGTCCGTAGGCTTTGACCACCTAATCCTAGGCCCACCCTACACGTGTCTCCCGGGTGGTGCTAAATGAGCGACAAGCCAAAAGTACAGACTCGGATACTCGCCGTGTAGTAGCGGCGTAAAATTTACCAACCTATACTTTCGCACCATTCCCGGCGCCCCTTTAATGGGACAGGGGTGTGAAGAATCTCCGGGAGGAAAACCGGTGACAAGGTTCACCACCCGTCACGTTCTGTCTCCCGGAGGGGCGAAAATATGTGTGTGGAGCAATGGTATTATAAGATGGATAAAGTTTGTGATATGATGTATGATAGAGGAGTAGATGTGTTATGTGTAAATGAAACGAAGCGAAATGTCACTACACATGGCATGTATACCGCATACTGGTCTGTTGTAGACGAGACCGAGCGGGCATGCTAGGGAGTCGGTATCATCCTTTCAGAAACAATGGGTCAATGTGTAAAGGGTATGAATGTGTAAGCCCAGGACTGATATGGATACAAATAAAAGGGGGCCTGAAGAATCAGTTTATTCTTGGGGTCTACGCCCCAGACATGTCTAAGCTCATTTATATCCGAGAGCAGTTTTGGGAGATGGTAAGAATGGTGTTAATGAAATGTAGGGGAAATGAAAATATTGTCATGTTGGGAGAATTTAATGGGAGGGTTGGGGTGAAAAGGCTTGGTTATGAAAGGATATTGGGAACATTTGGTGATTAAAGTATAAATGAGAATGGTGAAAGCCTCCTCACCGTATGTGTGGAAACGAATCTTTTTGTGACGAACACTTTCTTTCGCCACAAAAAGATTCACATGTATACTTGGAAAAAGAGGTGATGCATGTTATATTTCATAATTGTGGATGAAAGAATGAGGAGCGCAGTGGTAGATACAAGGGTTTACCGGGGGTCCAACGTAGGAACGGGTCAATATTTGGGTTTATGCCGAATTAATAGTCTATTCAGACATTAGCGACATCGGACACCTGTGTCTACCACTGCGTTTCAGCGTATTAGAACAGAAAGGTTAAAAAAGGAAGGTGAGAAAAACAAGTACAAATGTAGACTGAAAGAAAATATAAGTGGTTTGGATGAGCGATGTATGAATGAGTTAGACTTGGAGAATGTATGGCAAAATGTTAAGTAGGGTTCAGGATGCAGCTACCGAAGTATGTGGTGTTAGTAAGAGACGAATGAAAGCAAAAATAATACGTTGTGGTGGGACATTGAAGTATCAATATGTACATACGTACTAGAACAGCTATTTATTACAAACAAAAAATGTGCGCTACTCTGTGTTCTTTCGGTTGGTTTTTTTATCATAGAATAAACATAGGTAGTAGAACAATTTTTAAATTTTGTCATTTATTTTGTATATTATATTCGCTTATTTAATATAAATATTACATAATATTATCTGAATATTTTAAAAGATATCTATGTCAAATATAAAAAACATACGAAATGTATTTTTAACAAAACTTATAAATAACATTTAAATTTTATTTAAATTCATTTATTTAAGAGATGTTCATTAATGCTAGGCACGCGATTGTTAAAAATGGACGAATTTATTTCACTTTGACTTTTATGTGGAAACCTAAAAATAAAATAAAAGAATAATGACCAGATTTAAATATAAAGATTTAAATATAATAATATATTCGTGCTATATTTAAGTACCCACAGAAATGTCGCATCCGAACAAATTAATTTCATAATCTATATTCCATGACATGAGATAACGTCTTAGGAATAATTTGTTTTATTATTAATCTATAATAATTTTTATTTATTGTGTAATTCCTTGGTTTTTACTGACATTTCTTGAATTATTTGTGCAATATCTAAGTACACACGACGGCATAGTTTTATCAAGAGATTCTTTTTAAATCAACACAACACGTGACAACTCTACAAGCGCCTAGCGAGTGACTGATTAAAGTGCGGTGTAAGCACCGCGGTTGAATGGAACAGAGTAGCTGAATGCAGTACTCCTAGCCTATAGTACATAATAGCTCAATGTGGTGGGATGATGAGGTACGTATGAAAGTTGAAGCAAAGAAAATATGGCATGGCTAGATTTACTAGCAACAAAGGCTGGTATTCCTGGCGGTACGAATGATATTGAAAGAAAAGAGGCAGTCCTTAGACATCTAAATAAGAGAGAAAATGAAGTAGTTGAAAGGAAAAAAACATGAAAGAACGGATAAGAATGACAGAAGAATATCGGATAACTTCCAGGCAAATATTAAAATATTCTGGAAACTTGTAAAAATTGCCAGGGGACATTCAAAACAGCTTATAATGAATACTTTAAGAGACGAGAATGGCTATATTCTGAATAATGAAATTTTGAGTTTAAAGAGATTGAAGGATTATTTTGAGTGTTTATGAGAGAGGAGACGACGTTTAAACTAAATGAAATAAAAATTTCGAAAGAAGAGGAAAGAGATATGGAGATAAGTATAGATGAAATAATGAAATCAATAAGAGATTCAAGAATTAAATTATGATGACACTGAAAAGCTACTCACTAATCCTAACTAATTGCTATCCGTACTAAAGTTAAATACTAACCCAATACTAAATTTAATTTCCAACCCAGTTACTAACTAACAAACAAAAGCACGCACACACACTCATATGCACACAAACAAACTCTCTCTCTCACACACAACACACACACCACATCACACACACGCACACACACACGCACACGCACACGCACACGCACACGCACACGCACACGCACACGCACACGCACAGCACACCACACGCACACGAACGAACGCGCACGCGCACGCGCACGCCAAAACACACACAGAACACACAACACACACACGCACAGCCTAGACTAATACTAGCACCAGATTTATAAAAAAAAAAATATTGTAATTACAACCACAGGGGAGATCTGATGGCCTAACATTAAGGTGTAATATTCTAATATTATGTACAATAATTCTGTAATATTGTGGTGAGAAAATAAATCATTTATTATTATTTTTATTATTAATAAAAAGCAGCATGTAAGGCAGCCGTATATGATAGAGTTTCACTTGAAATTCTAAGGTCTGGAGAGGAAGTGGTGGCAGGCCTGCCGTACATCCTGTTTAACTTTGATGGGAACTGAAACGGGTGAAACGGGGACTGGACTGCAAAGCCATGATAGTCCCAATATATAAAGGAAAAGAGTCACAGCAGAACTGTGAAAACTACCGTGGTATCAACCTTCTTAGCATTGTGGGAAAATTGTATACTAAGGTACTAATTGAAAGTGCAATGATAGAAACTAATGGAAAAATTTGGGATATGCAAGCGGGATTTAGAAAGGGAAAGGGGTGTACGAACCAAGTCTTTTCTGAAAGAGAAGTATTTGGCCTAAAACCAAAAAGTTTTTATGCGTTCATGGACCTGGAAAAGGCTTATGACAGAGTGAACAGGAATGTGTTATAGCAAACATTTAACTCATTTGGGTTGAGCGCTGGGTTGATACAGGCATTAAAGTATCTTTATAGGAACTCTAGTGCTTGTGTTATGATCAAAGAGGTCCACTCGGACTGGATTGGCATCCATAAAGGTGTCAGATAGGGCTGTAAGGCTTCCCCGTGGCTGTTCAACCTATATATGGACAGTTGTTTGGAAAATTTGAAAGTTGAATAATGTGGATTAAGAATGGGTAAGTTAACCGTCAAATGCCTTTTGTACGCCGATGATCAAATGTATTTTTGCGTCGTCGGCGGCCGATTTGCAAATGGTGGTTACATACAACAGATTATTGAGAGAAAAGGGTATGAAAGTGAACGCAAGCAAGGCGAAAGTTACGGTTTTTGAAAGAGAATAAAGTAAAATGATATGTGAAACAAGAATAGAAGGAGAGTTGATAGAGCAAGTAGACGAATTTGTATATTTGGGCAGCGTATTTAGCAAGGATGGGAGATATGATAGGGATATAGAACGACGAGTGAGAGATTGAGAGAGAGAGACGCAGAAAATAGCCCTACACTCTATTGTGAAAAATCAAAATGTGTCAAAAAAGGCACGTATGGCAATTCACAATGCTA